AAAATAGCTAACCTGGGTTAAATGTTCAATAGATAAATTGTAGGGCTATCTCTTAACTTTCCACAATATCAAGAATTGACTTAATTTGATAACTATAGAAAGAGTTATAGGCAGAATACTAACATAGGGTTAGGCTACCAAAAATTAAAGACATTCACATATGAAATGAGCTTGCAAATTCTCTATACACCAAACAAATCAAACTTTAATGGACATGATAATAAGCAAAACACTCAAAAAATTTCTGGGCAAATGAGAGCAGAAGAAAATGGGCCAAAACTAAGTTAAAACTGTAGCAAAAACAGTTCAAAAATTTTGATAGAAAAGTGAAGAAAGCAACCACAGAACCACACAAATCCTAGTATGGGAAATAGGAAAAATCTATGGTATGCAAGGCAAAAACCGAGCTTTTAATGAGGCATATTAATAAGGAAATCTTGACACAAAAGTGCAAAAAATACATAATTCACTTACAGAATTTTTCTAGCAAGGAGATCAGTAATGTTAACCATGTGGTTTGTAAAATCGAAGGGAAAACTAGAGGAAACTACCCTGAAATCAAAAATAGCAAAAGATTTAAGTTAACCCAACTCAAGTTAAAGATGAAAAGATGGGCATTTGTTGATTTCTTACCAAAAAATCATAGAAGGAGCACCCACTAAACATTCAAAGATCAAACAGCAACAAATCTTGATTAGGAGAAGAAAAAGCATCATAGAGAAGTTAGGAAGTTGATAGCATCCTGATTTGGTATTGCAATAGAAGAGAAGAGGAAAACCCCAAAAGAGGAGAGAAAACCCAAAAGGAATTAGGTTTTCCTTCTGTTTATACTCGTACCTACTCTCCACCTCTTTTTCTTTTTTTACTACTAACATTCCTCAAGATTGAAGAGATAGACAACTTGGTCCCCCATTAAAATCCCTTTTCGTATTAGTCATTTCACACCTAAATTAAATAAATAAATTATTCCACATGAGTGCTAAAAATTTGGGGTATTACAAATATGAAGCACATATCAAACTAAGAGTTTGTTTCATATAACAGTTAAAACCTAGTGAATAGCGAGTAACAAGTGATGGATAACAGATAGTGGTGGTGGGTGACAATTAGCATATAAGGGATAGTGGAGAGTAAAAAGTAAATAGCGAATTGTAGATAGTGAATTGTAAATAACAAATTTTGATTAACATAACTATTTAGTTAAATAATGGTTAACGATTGCTATTTGATGTTAAGTGACTAATAAATGCATGTTTTAAAGCAATTATGTATATTTTTTTCTTTTTATAATTTTTATTATTTAACTTAGTAATTTTCTGAAAATAATCAATAAATAAATAAAACAAAATAAAATATAAAAGTGTAAGTCACAAATTTATTTTTATTTTTAACAAAGAAAAATTATATTATTTTTAAATAATGAAAAAATAAACTTTAATTATTTAGTCTAGTTAGGAAATTTTTTATTAAATTAATATAAATTTTTTTGTCAATAAGTTAACGCAAAAAATAAAAATATGTAATCACTTAATGTTATTAATGATAAAAAAATAAAGTTGAAACTAATTATATAAGAGGAAATTAATGACCAGAGCAAAAAATTGAAAAATTAAAATGGATAAATTTGTTTATTAAATTAAAAAAAATTCTACTCCATTAGTAATTTATTACAAAAAAATTATATAAGGTAGTTTTTTTTAATCTGGTAGTAGTTTGAACCTTAATCGTTATTGGCTAGTCTCAAACCGTTAAATAAAGAATTTACTAAATACAAAATTTGTAATGATTTTAAATTAAACAAATTTACCAAAGCATCTATCTTTTAGCAATTACTTGTGTAAAACTGATGTTGGCTTAATGCACTCCAAGAGGGGGATGAATTGGAGTTCAAAAATTTTCACCTCTTTGCAAACCACCAAACAAAAATTAAAGTGAGGGTAGAGAAGAAAAGCTTGCACAATGATTTTATAGAGATTCGGTCCAACCACTTGAAACCTAGTCTTTTACCTTGGCTTCACTCACCAAGGATTTCTTCCACACTTTCCACTAAAAAAAACAAAGGTGGGTTAAAGGAGCCACTCAATACTTTTACAAGAAGAAGGGTATTTTTCTTAAATCTCACCTTTTTACAACATAAATGCCAAGAATCTTCTTTATAAATCACTCTTAAAGAAGTAATTACACCCCCAAGATAACACACAAGTATAACAAGAAGACGATTACAAGCAAAAATCACACAAAGATCAAAAACTCAAGTTAAAGCATAAGTTGGTAGGTAAAGATATTGAATGCAATGCTCAAAAACTTATTCCAAATCTACTACCAATCATATTTATAATTCTTTGGTAGAAAAAAGTCATTTCTAGCCATTGGGGGGTCATTAAATGCTCTGTAGATCAAGTAAGTTTGTGTTGCAAATTTGTCAGTAGAGCCGGCTTTAACTCTAGAGCTAGTTTTACAGAGTCAGCTTTGAATTTTAGAGCCAGCTTTGCAGCCTTCTTGCACATTTTGTTGTTCTCAAGAATTGGCTACAAAAACGTAAAGCCAGCTTTGAAAATACGACTTTGAAAGATTAAAGTATTCTTTAAATAACTCAGCCGTTGGGAATTAAATGTGCCATCATAGCCGACTACAAAGAAATAGCCGGCTTTGGTTCTATTTTCCGCACACACCAATCTATGGTCTTGAAATTTTCTACTATAAAGCTGGCTGCAATTCTCAAATTCGACTTTTTGCACTTGCCTTTGCTAAAGCCGATTGCATATTTCTAAAGCTAGCTCTTTCCACATTTTTCAACCTTTTTAGTCCTATTTTTAGTGCAATCCAAGTTCACTTAATTTTGCAATCTTTTAGGAGTTCAACTACACATTTAAATGAAAAGATTAGTTACTCAAATGTGTTTTGTAATCATCAAAATCATAGGTACAACAATCTCCCCCTTTTTGTTGATGACAAAACACTTTGAAAATTAATTAATGAAAGCACATATATATTTCAATGAAAGCATATATAGACTTCAAAATTAACTAGAAATTTCAACATCAAAACACTTTAGAAAATGGCAGTAAATTCAACATACTTTCTCCCCCTTTTTGTCATCCCAAAAAGTGTATAAACATAATCAATAAAATTCCCTTTAATTCATGCATATCAACCTTTAAATCATCAAAAATATGTAATTTAAGCACAATATCCATAGATTGCTCCCCCTCAATAAAGGCACTTAAGAATGTAATCATCAAAATTATAAGCAATCAAAAAGTCACATACCATTAAAAACCACAATTCATGATAATAAGTAAAGAAATGTGCATAGATAATGAGGGAAAATTTTGGGAGAAAATCAAATTTGGAATGCAAGGAGAGAAAGGCTAAACTTAAAAAGACGGTCCAAGAGAGCTAGTTGTAATAATAGAGCCAGCTCTACAGCAGGTTCAGGTCAGGTCTACTAAAGTGAGTTGATTGTGTCTTGAGAGCTGGCTTAAATTTTGATACCTTAACTTTCTATTTTCTCAATGGAGCCGGTCGTGAAAAATTGTAGCCAACTGAGCTAGCCTTAAGTGATAAAAATAAAAGTTTTGGGGCTATTTTGGGGAAAATGCAACTACTTTGATATTTCTTCATTTAACCAAGTTTTAAGCTGGACATTAACTACTAAATCATGCAATCTTAGACATATATCCATGTGTGCACCAACAATCAAACAAAATATGGAAATCAAGCTCATTAATATGTATAAATTTTAACAAGTAATCACATCAAATTCAAAAATCATCTCAAGCACTAGGATCCAACATGCCAAGTTCATTTCTAATAAAGAAAAATCTATCACGATCAAGAGGCTTTCTAGTAAGTAAAGATATCTTATTCCAAGCAACTATGAAGGTCAAAAGATTCTTTCTCTCCTTTTTGTTATCCAACAAAAAAGTTTGAAAATCATATGAAGAACAAACAAAAGACCTTCCCCTTAATAAAATAACTCATGAAAGCATGAACATACTTATATAACAATTTATGATTTAAGTCATAAAAATCAATAAAAGATAAATGAAATACAATAAATTATATCAATTTGAGAACATGAGTAGGGCATTCAAAAACAAAATTTTTTTACACCTTTACTCCAACATTCTTGTTGAGACATAAGTCTTTATCAAGAACAACTTTGCTTTTCTCATGACTTCGCTATCAACTTTACCTATAAAACAAAATCAAGTTTTGATTTTTGGTACCCAAATTTGCTTGGGTCCTTGGGAGTTAGTGCTTGAATTCCTTTTCGAACATAAATTTGCCTCACTTTACCTTGAGCTATTAATCTCTTCAAAGAACATACATAAGCAAAGTGTCCCTTTGCACCACAACAATAGCAAGTAACTTTAGGATTAGAGAGTTGACTTGCCCTCACAAAGAAGTTATTAAAAGTTTTTTGTTTTTTAGAATAATCAAATCCAATACCCCCTTTGTCATAAACACTTTTTTGAGATTTTAAAATAGAATCAAATTTTTCTTTACTCAAGGTCAATTTGGAAATCACATTCTCAAGATCACAAACTTTCTTTTTCAAGTTTTCATTTTCCTTTTTCAAAGCATTACTAGATTCCTTATTCTTTAAAGATGCAATCCCAACATTCAAGGAGTCATTTTCCTTAACTAAAAAATTATTTTGTTTTGAAAGAGATTCAATCTCATTTTTAAGCAATGAAATGGTTTTAGTAAGAGCAAGATTCTTATTCCCTAGTTTCTTGATATCATTTATAAAGCAATCAAGAACTTTGCATAACTCATCACAAGAATATTCAAAGGAACTTTCATTAATTGAACTAGAGAAGTTAGAGTTTACCTCCTCATCATTGTTGCTATCCTCTTGAGCCATGAAGTAAAGATTTGCAACACCATTCTCCAAGGAGCTTTCACTTTCCGTTGAGCTAGTCTCATCATCACTCTAAGTGGCAGCAAAAGCTTTCTTCTTCATGCTCTTCTAATCATTCCTCTCACCCTTCTTCAATTAAGGGCATTCATTTCTATAATGCCCCATCTTATTGCACTCATAGCGTTTGATATGCTTCTTGCTTAGCTTTCCTCGATCATCATCATCACTATATATTCTTCCTCCAGACTAAAGAATTTCCTTGTTTCTTCTAGAGGATTTCCCTTTGAGGCTTTTCTTCATATATTTCTTCACTTTGAAACCAATTTGGTGTTGTCCTCCTCATTGCTAGACTCATCATCACTAGCATCATCTCCACTTTCTTCTTTTTGTTTGCTAGCCTTCAATGCAACATTCTTCTTCTTTTTCTCAACTATTTCAACTTTACCATTAACTTGAATATCAATCTCATATGTCATCAAGTTCCCAATGAAATCATCAAGCTTGAGAGTGCTGAGATTCTTAGCCTCTTCAATTATGGTCTTCTTGGCTTCCCAACTCTTAGGCAAGTGTTGACTCAATGTACTCCAAGAAGGGAGGTGAATTGAAGTTCCAAAAATTCTCCCCTTTTTGCAACCACAAAACCAAAATTAAAAATAGTAGAGAAAAAGAGCTTACTCAATGATTTATAGAGGTTTGGTCTAACCACTTGGAGCCTAGTCCTCTACCTTGGCTTCACTCACCAAGGATTTCCTTCACACTCTCCACTAACAACAACAAGGGTGGCTTAAAGGAGCCACTCAATCCTTTTACAAGAAGAAGGGTGTTATCTCAAATCTCACCCTTTTACACTTAAACCCCACGAATCCTCTCTACAAACTACTCTTGAAGGATTAATCACACCCCCAAGATCACTCACAAATAGAACAAGAAGAGGATTACAAGTAAAGATTTCTCAAAGATCAAAAACTCAAGTTAAAGCTCATGTAGGTAGGTAAAGATATTCAATACAATGCTCTCTAAACTTCTTCAGATTTGTTATCAACCATATTTATAGCCCCTTTCTCTAAAATAGCCGTTTCTAACCGTTGGGGGTCATTGAATGCTCTACAAGACGCAAAGGTCGAGTTACAAGATTGTTAGGAGAGTCGGCTTACCATTTTTGCAACCGGCTTTGCGGGAATGCTGCACACTCTGTTTTCTTCCATAGTCGGCTATAAAGCCTAGAGCCAGCTATGGGATTCCAACTTTAAACACATTAAATAATCTTCAAATAACTCGACCGTTGTGCATTAAATGCACCCTCACAGTCAGCTGCAAAGTTGGAGCCAGCTTTGTGTCTTTTCTCCACACGCGCCAAACGACAGTCTTCAATTTTTTGCCCGTAGAGCAGGCTGCAGCTTCCAAAGTCGGCTCTCTGCACTTCCATTTCACCAGAGCTGGCTGCAGCTTTTAAGAGCTAGCTCTCTGCACATACTCAAGCCTTTCTGGTCCATTTTTAAGTGTAGTCCAAGTTTACTTGCAATCTTTTAGCAACTTAACTACACACTTAAATAAACCAATTAATCATTCAAATGTGTTTTGTAATCATCAAAATCATAGGTACAACAATCTCCCATTTTTTATGATGACAAAACACTTTGAGAATTAATTAATGAAAGCACATATATACTTCAATATTAACTAGAATTTCAACACAAAGATACTCTAGAAAATGACATTACATTTAGCATATTCTCTCCCATTTTTTGTCATTCATCCAAAAGCACATACTCAACAAACTCCCCCTTAATTCATGCACATCAATCTTTCAAAGCATTTAAGCATGATAACCATTAAGAGGAGTAATTTAAGCACAAAATGCTCCCCCTCAATAAGAGCATACAATCATCAAAATCATAGACAACCATTAAGCATGATAACACAAGTGATGCCATTACCATTCACAAAGCATGACAACACAAGTGACCGGGTTTGGGTTGGATTCGCCTGCAAGTTGAGAAAATAACAAATCTGGTTCGAAGAGAGAGAAGCCCGAAAGATTTAAAGACTGATGGAGAGCCGGCTTTAGTCTTGGAGCCGGCTTAATCTTAGAGAGAGAAAACTCTCGGGATTTTGGGTGAGCCGGCTGTGAAGAAGGTGCAACCAGCTCTATTGGCCTTGATTGGTACCAATAAAAGATTTGGGACTGTTTTGAAGAAAATGCTCCTAATTTGATATTCCTTCATTTTACCAAGTTTAAAATGGACATCAACTATTAAATCATGCAATTTTAGTCATATATCAATGTGTGCATCATTAAATAACATGATCATAATCAAGGTACACATACTAAGGTCATCAATATGCATAAATTCTAATAAGCAAATACATTAATTTCGAAAGCCATATCAAACACTAGGATCTAACATGCCAAGCTCATTAATTTGCATAAATTTTAATAATCACATCAAATGATATCATATTTAACAAGCATATATATCAAAGAGTGAACACACATAAACAAATTATTAATAGTCATGTTGAAGTAATTATACTCAATGAATAAATGCAATAAAATAAATAATATCAATTTGAGCACATGAGTGGAGCATTCAAAAAAAAATTTTCTTTGCACTTTCACTCCAACATTCTTGTTGAGGCATAAGTCTTTATCAAGATCAACTTTACTCTTGTTTTGACTTTGCCATCAACTTTACCTACAAAACAAAATTAAGTTTTGATTTTTGGTACCCAAATTTGCTTGGGTCCATGAGGGTTAGTGCTTAAAGTTCCTTTTGGAACCCAAATTTGCTCTACTTTACCTTGAGCTATCAATCTCTTCAAAGGACATACATAGGCAAAGTGTCCCTTTGCATCACAACAATAACAAGTAACATTAGGATGAGAGGATTGACTTGCTCTTACAAAAGAATTTTTAAAAGTCTTTTGCTTTTTAGAATAATCAAATCCAATGCCCCCTTTGTCATAAATACTTTTTTGACATTTTAAGATAGAATCAAATTTTCTTTACTCAAGGTAAATTTGGAAATCACATTCTCAAGATCACAAGCTTTTCTCTTTAAAACCTCATTTTCCTTATTTAATCTTCATTTCCTTTCTTTAAATCTTCATTTCCTCATTTTCCTTTTTCAAAGAATTATTAGACTCCTCATTCTTTAAAGAAGCAATCTCACCATTTAAAGAGGTATTCTCTTTAACTAAAACCTCATTTTGTTTTGAGAGAGATTCAATCTCATTCCTAAGCAATGAAATGGTTTTAGTAAGAGCAATATTCTCATTTCCTAGTTTCTTAATGTCATTCATAGAGCAATCAAGAACTTGGCATAAATCATCATAAGAATACTCAAATGAACTTTCATTAATTGAACTAGAGAAGTTAGAGTTTACCTCCTCATCATTGTAGCTCTCCTCTTGAGCCATGAAGCAAAGATTTGCAACACCATTTTCCAAGGAGCTTTCACTTTCCGTTGAGCTAGTCTCATCATTGCTCCAAGTGGCACTAAAAGCTTTCTTCTTCATGCTCTTCTTGTTTTTCCTTTCACCCTTCTTCAATTTGGGACATTCCTTTCTATAGTGCCCCATCTTGTTGCACTCATAGTATTTCACACTCCTTTTGGTAGACTCTCCTTCATCCCTTTTTGCAAGCTTGCTCTTGATGTTCTTCTTCATGAATCTCCTCACTTCTCTAGAGATCAAGGTGGAGATGTTTTCACCATCACTAGCATCTTCTTCACTCTTTTCCTTTTGGTTGCTAGCCTTGAATGCAACATCCTTCTTCTTCTTCTTCTCAACTACTTCAACTCCATCATCAACTTGAATTTCTATCTCATATGTCATCAATTTTCCGATGAGATCTTCAAGTTTGAGAGTGTTGAGATCCCTAGACTCTTCAATTGCGGTCTTCTTGGCTTCCTAATTCTTAGGCAAGCTTCTAAGAACCTTCCTCACCACTTCTTGAGAAGGATAAACTTTACCAAGAGCCTTGAGATTGGTGACTATATCATTCAATCTTGTATACATATCTTGAATGCTCTCCTCTGGTTTCATCTTGAAAAGCTCATACATGTAAATGAGTCTATTGATTTTTGACTCCTTCACTTGACTTGTTCCTTCATGTGTTACCTCCAACATGTCCCACATCTCCTTGGCCGTATCACATCCAAATACTCTATGGAATTCCGTTGGATTAAGAGCACATTGAAGCATGTTGATTGCTTTGTTGTTGATCATGATCTTCCCCAAGTCTTCATCATTCCATTCAACTTCTTCCTTTGGCACCTCTCTTTCTCCAACAACTTTCATAGGTACATATGGACCTTTCATAGTCACAATCCATGCATTGGGCACATTTGCAAGCATGGAGACCTTCATCCTATTCTTCCAATAATTGTAATTAGTCCCATCAAAGAAAGGAGGCCTAGTGGTAGACAAACCTTCAAGTGGTTGAGAAGCTTGAAATTGAGCCATCCTTGATCAACTCCTAGGTGGTTAAACCTTCAAATTGGAGCCCTTGCTCTGAAACCAATTGTTGACTCAATGTACTCCAAGAGTGGGGCTGAATTGGAGTTCCAAAATTTCTCCCCTTTTTGCAACCACAAAACCAAAATTAAAGAGAGTAAAGAAGAAGAGCTTGCTCAATGATTTATAAAGGTTCGGTCTAACCACTTGGAGCCTACTCCTCTACCTTGGCTTCACTCACCAACGATTTCCTCCACACTCTCCACTAACAACAACAAGGGTGGCTTAAAGGAGCCACTCAATCCTTTTACAAGAAGAAGGGTGTTCTCTCAAATCTCACCCCTTTACACTTAAACCTCACGAATCCTCTCTACAAATTACTCTTGAAGGATTAATCACACCCCCGAGATCACTCAAAAATAGAACAAGAAGAGGATTACAAGTAAAGATCTCTCAAAGATCAAAAACTCAAGTTAAAACTCATGTAGGTAGGTAAAGATATTCAATACAGTGCTCTCTAAACTTCTTCAGATCTGTTACCAACCATATTTATAGCCCCTTGCTCGAAAATAGTCGTTTCTAACCGTTGGGGGTCATTAAATGCTCTGCAGGACGCAAAGGTCAAGTTGCAGGATTGTCAAGAGAGCTGGCTCAGCTTCCTAGAGTCGACTCTATAGAGCCGATTTACCATTTCTGCAGCCGGCTTTGTGGGATTGTTGCACACTCTGTTTTCTTCCATAGCTGACTGCAAAGCCTAAAGCCGACTTTGGAATTCCAACTTTAAACACATTAAATAATCTTCAAATAACTCGACCATTGTGCATTAAATGCACCCTCATAGCCGACTGCAAAATTGGAGCCGGCTTTGCATCTTTTCTTCGAGCATGCCAAACAATAGTCTTCAAATTTTTGCCCGTAGAGCCGACTACAGCTTCCAAAGCCGGCTCTCTGCACTTCCATTTCACCAGAGCCGGCTGCAGCTTTTAAGAGCAGGCACTCGGCACATACTCAAGCCTTTCTGGTCCATTTTTAAGTGCAATCCAAGTTTACTTGCAATCTTTTAGCAACTTAACTATACACTTAAATAAACCAATTAATCACTCAAATGTGTTTTGTAATCATCAAAATCATAGGTACAACAACAAGCTTCTAAGGATCTTTCTCACCAATTCTTGATTATGATAAACTTTACCAAGAGCCTTGAGATTGGTGACTATATCATTAAATCTTGTGTACATTTCTTTAATGCTCTCTTCCAGTTTCATCTTGAAAAGCTCATACATGTAATGAGTCTATTGATTTTTGACTCATTCACTTGGCCTGTTCCTTCATGTGTTACCTCAAACATGTCCCACATCTCCTTAGCCGTATCACACCCGAATACTTTATTAAATTCTGTTGGATTGAGAGCACATGAAGCATGTTGATTGCTTGGTTGTTGATCTTGATCTTCTCCAAGTCTTTATCATTCCATTCAACTTCTTCCTTTGGCACCTCACTTTCTCCAACAACTTTCATAGGCACATATAGACCTTTCATAGTCATAATTCATGCCTTGGGCTCATTTGCAAGTATGAAGACCTTCATCCTATTCTTCTAATAATTATATTTAGCACCATCAAAAAAAGGAGGCTTAGTGGTAGACAAACCTTTAAATGGTTGAGTAGCTTGAAATTGAGCCATCCCTAATCAACTCCTAGGTCGTTAAATCTTCAAATTGGAGCCCTTGCTCTGATACCAATTGTTCGCTAAATGCATTCTAAGAGGGATGAATTGGAGTTCAAAAATTTTCACCTTTTTGCAACCACCAAACAAAAATTAAAGAGAAAGTAGGGAAGAAGATCTTGTCCAATGATTTTATAGAGGTTTGGTCCAACCACTTGAAGCTTAGTTCTTTACCCTGACTTCACTCATCAAGGATTTCCTCCACACTTCCACTAAGAAAAATAAGGGTGGCTTAAAGGAGCCACTTAATCCTTTTACAAAAAAAAAAAGGGGTCTTTCTCTCAAATCTCACCCTTTTACAAGATAAACCCCAAGAACCCTCTCTACGAATCACTCTTGAAGGAATAATTACACCCCCAAAATAACACACAAGTAGAACAAGAAGAGGATTACAAGCAAAAATCACTCAAAGATCAAAAACTCAAGTTAAAGCACAAGTTGGTAGGTTAAGATATTCAATGCAATGCTTAAAAACTTATTCCAGATTTGTTACCAACCATATTAATAACCCTTTGGTTGAAAATAGCTGTTTTTAGTTGTTGGGGGTCATTAAATGCTCTGCAAATCAAGTAAGTTCGTGTTGTAGATTTGTCAGTAAAGCCAGCTTTAACTTTAGAGCCGGCTTTATAGAGCTGGCTTTGCAGCCTTCTTGCACATTCTGTTTTTCTCATGAGCCAACTACAAAAATGTAAAGCCGATTTTGAAAATTCGACTTTAAAAGATTAAAATATTCTTTCAATAATTAAAATATTTTTTAAATAACTCGACCATTGGGAATTAAATGCACCATCACAGCTGGTTGCAAAGATATAGTCAGCTTTGCATTCATTTTCTGTGCATACCAAACTGCGGTCTTGAATTTTCTCCGATAAAGCTAGCTACAGTTCTTAGTCTGCACTTGCCTTCATTAGAGTTGGCTGCACATTTCTAAAGCCAGCTTTCTACATATTTTTCAACCTTTTTTGTCTTATTTTTAGGGCAGTTCAAGTTCACTTAATTTTGCAATCTTTTAGGAGTTCAACTACACACTTAAATGAACAAATTAATTACTCAAATGTGTTTTGTAATCATCAAAATCATAGGTGCAACAAGTGCTAATTGCTACCCCAAACCACTCTACCAAATGGCCCTATAAGACTTAGAAGTGTTTACTCAAGTTAGAATTTTTTTTTTTCTTTGCCATCAATCAAGTTTGCATCCACCATATATATAATCTTAAGTCAAGAATTAATTAATGAAATTTGGTAACATACATAAGATGATTGGATTATACAATAATAGATACCCTTTTCTTTCCCAGCCCCTCTCTACTTTCTTCAATGACTCAAACCTTTGATTTCTATTTTAACTTTTTAAGCCTAGTATCTTTTCTTCTCCCTTTACTAATAGTGGTCGCCCCTCTCTTTTTCTTCTTTTTCTTTTCCCCCTAGTTATCCTAGCCTCTCCTCTCTATTGTAATTAGAAAGGATGAACAAAAGAAGGAGTTTCTTTTTCTCTTTGTAGGTTTTTTCTCTTGAGGAGAGTTTGTTTCTCTCTTTTAAAGATCTCTACCTAGACTTTTTCAATGTTTTTATTGTGTTTTAGCGTGGTAGAAAAGGTGGAGTTTCTTTTTCTCTTTGTAGCTTATGAGGAAAACACTTCTTTGAGTTTCAATCCATCAAAGGTGATATTCTTCCAACTCAATGTGAGGAGTCACTTTGTGGTAAGAGCTATCGCATGTTTTATGGCTTTGGTGTAATAAATTACTAACTCTTTAGTTTTTTTTTTTTTTTCTTGTAAATTATTGTAGTTTTAAACTTGAAGGGACATGGTGGTGGTGAATCCAGACATCATGTAATACCCCAAAATTTCCTAGAGCATTAAGTTGAGTTAGGGACTTAATGGTGAGGAAACATTATTAATGGACCTAACCTTCAATTTTTCAAACTCCAAAGGGGTTAAAAGGTGTTTGGATAAGGCCGGCTGACTCATTTCTTTTTCCTTTTTCTTCTTTCTTTCTTTCTTCCTAGCCATTTTCGCGTCTGCTCTGTTTTCTTTCCCCTCTGCAGCCGAACACCACCAGCCTCCACCAACACCTACTCCTCCCGAAAATTGGTAAGATCATGGTAAATTCTTTCCCTTGTCTTGTTAAATAACAAGATTTAGAGCTTAAAACTCTCTCCCTCAACCCAGGAATCCCAGATCTGCT